TCATGGGTTTTTTTTTTTTTTTACTTTATTTTTGAGAGAGAGAGTGGGAGAGAGGCAGAGAGAGAATCGCAAGGCTCAGCCCTGTTGGCGTGGAGCCCGACGTGGGGCTCAAACTCACGAGATCATGATCTGAGCCAAAACCAAGAATCAGACACTTGGCCGAGTGAGTCAACCAGGCACCCCTACTTCCTGTTTTAAAATACAATTTTCATTTTTAGTAAAATATATCGTCAGTAAAACTTTAAATTTCTACCATTAAAAAAATAAATAAATAAAATTTTGGAGGTTTTTTAATATGCATAAGTTTTATTTTTTATTTTTTTTACGTTTATTTATTTTTGAGAGATACAGAGTGAGTGGGGGTGTGAGTTTTTCCCCAAGGTATAAAATGTTCAGTAATCAGTTTTAAAACGAACTCTGTTCATGGTTATTGACTTTGGTATAGAGTGAGGCAAGACTAATTCTCAAATTGCTATTTTATTATTTTTTGTGAATAAGTACTATATTCTACAGGTTTTCAAATTCATAATCTACAAAAAAAGTTTACAAAGTTTCTGACATCTGTCCTTTAGCTTCCTTGTTTCCCCTTTTTATAAGTGTATGCTGTTAATCAGCTGTTGGTTTACTTTTCCAGAGATGTTTTATGTGTACACAAATATAAACATTTTTCTTCTTTTTGTTTCATAAATAGCAGCATACTGTTCTTCCTTGCTGTTTTCACCATAACAGTCTGTCTTAAAGATCTTTGCAAAACAGTATATAAAGAGCTTACTCCTTCTCTGTCTCAGTCTCTCTCTCTTTTTTAAAATGTTTATTTTGAGAGAGAGCGTGGGTAGGGGAGAGGCAGAGAGACAGGGAGAGAGAAAGAGAATCCCAAGCACTCTCCACTATCAGCGCATAGCCCATCGCAGAGCTCCATCCCACCAACTGAGATCATGACCTGGGCTGAAATCAAGGGTTGGACGCTCAACCAACTGACCACCCAGGCACCCCATCTTTTTTTTTTTTTTTTT